GTTTTTACTTTTGGGCCCTGGAAGTACAGTATATCCATATTATTTGTTTCGTATCAATATCCAGAATCCATCTTGAGTCAAGCACCTGTCTTTCTACCGTTTAAATCAGCGTTTCCGGTTCCTCTCCGATTGTGGCGCCCTCTATGTCGTGACTCGGAACTTACTTTGCCGCGCACCACGTGATGTCCGCCATTATAGCGTTGTTTTTCGCGCCGTATACAAGTCAGCATATAATTTCGATAAAATTTACGCGAAAAAGTGTTAATTTATTATCGTTATTTAAATAACTCGGTTTCTTCTCCTATATTTATAATGGAGAACCAAGATAGGGAAAGTGAAAAACCGTTTTCAGAGAGTGTTGCTGAAAAATCTAACCCCCGGAAACGAGTGCGTTCTCCATCAACGGGTTCTGGCAGCGAAGATAGCAAATCATCAACGAGCGATATCTCGGGCCCTTCGAATAATAAGGCAAGGAAAGATTCGCCAACTGTGAGTTACGCACATTTTGCATTTTTATCACAACAAGTTTCTGTTTTGACAAATCTTATTACTGCAAACATAGAAAATAAACAATTGAATTCAAATATTGAAAATTCAACTGCTATTCCACATGAACTTAATAAATCGGTTTCAAATGTAGAAAATTCAGTCGTTACTTCAAATGAGGTTATTTTACGACGCTCCGAGTCGGAAAATAATTATAAGCTTAACATTTTATCGGATGTGAGTACTACTATAAAAGATCCTGTTGAACCAAAGTCAAATGGAGGTTTCTTGAAAAAATTGGCTGAATTACAGCATTTTAAGTGTGATGATTGGTATGCTATTCGTTTTACCGATGCTCAAAAGAAGTATTTGACTACCCCCGGTTTTGTTGAACTAAGTGTTAATCGCCCGCGTGTTACTACAAATAACCAAGACATAGCTATTATAGATAAAGCCAAAAATGACAGATTTATAAACACTACACAATTTTCAAGCACATTCGAAATATCCACTAGCACCATTAGAAGACGATTAAAAGAAGGAGGTTTAAAAAATAGAGTACCGACAAGAAAACCAACTCTCACGCCAAGGCACAAAATGCAGCGGCTACAATTTGCAGCTAATTATTTTAATTTTCAAAGCGTTATTTTCATGGACGAAAAGGTTTTCTGCTCATCAGATAATGGGCGATTAAGTTTGTGGCGACCCGAAAACACACGTTACTTAGAACAAGATGTGCTGCCTAATCGCCGGAGCGGACGTATTTCAATTGGATTTTGGGGATGGATGTGCAAAGATGGTCCTGGTGAGCTTGTGGAAATAAGTGGACGAATGAATGCAATGAATTATAAGGAACTTCTGGAAGGTACTTTTCTTCCTAGAGCTCAAGTTTTTTTTTAAATTCGTCAAAATTATTATTTGTAAATAATATGACGTATTTAAAAAAACAAATTACTTGATCTCGTTCAAATCAACTTTTGCTAGAAGTTTGCATGGTAATGTACAGACACGAGCTTTAATCTGGGCCCCACCTTTGAATATCGTGTAGCAATCTGCTCCAAGCTGTATAAAGCTAATATTTTAATGCAAAGTCAATGTCATAATGTTTACTACTGACAACTTTACGTTTCTAGGGGCAACCATGCAATTACGTCATCTGAAGCGACAGCAAAAGATCATTTCCGATGTTATGTTATGTTCCGTTTCCGAATTATACTTTGTAAAAATGTCACATTAAACTGTTTTCTTCACTGACACTGACACGAAATAGTATTTTGTAAAGAGGTTATCATTTCAAGGGTCGATTCGTTATGACATTATGTCATCAAAACACTATCAAACTAAAATTTCGACCTTATTGCATTATGAATTCTAACAACATTTAGTGGAAATGGGTCCCATATTAAATTTATAGACCTATCCCCACACGTAAAGATTTGATAAAAAAAAATCTAAGTCCATACGTTTTTTTTTCTATTTTTGTATGAATATCGTTTTTTTGCCATTTGGCTACGGAACCCTAAAAATGGTGAGCAAAATAACTAATTGGTCTGCGTTTTTGTTAAAAAAGTCGACAATATACGTTACGGCCGTCTACGTCTGTTAGAAATTCCCGTCTAAACGGGCATTGATAATATTGGGAAATTATTAAGCTAATAATAATACGCTAATTTCAAGAACCTTACTAATTGCCTGATAACTTTTTGTTACTATTAATATTATAAGAATAAAACATTTTGTTACTATTTAATTATAAACTCATTGTATCAGAAGTTGCTTTTTTTATTTCGATCTCGATTATAATTTTATTATAATAATAAATACTTTTAAGCTTAAGCATCTACTGAGGTAGTTACCAAGTTAATTCGTTTACATTTTTTGATTATTTAACTCAATAAAAATTTATAAGAATTAAAATTGTTTTTTATTAATTTTCACTTTTATAAATAATACATACCCAAACCAAACAAACACATCCACTCAGACAGTAAATAAAATTTTGTAAGGATGGCGCCCAGTTTGAGCATGACAAGTACAGAATTCCATTTTCCACTGAAATGGAAATAGTGGGACAAATGTTTCCTCCAAATTATTACTTATTTCTATTGCGGTTAAAAAACGCAGTTGTCTTATTTTTAAATAAATTTCTAAGGAGATATTGAGAATTTAATCTATAGAATAAAATAAAAACATAACTTCTCGTTAATTATAAAAAATAAATAGAGAAAAAATTAGGCATCTTCCATTTCTACTACTCGTGGTGACCTACACAAATGATTTTCTGATAGATTTTTATTCCCTTCTCATCGTATTTATTCCTTATATTTAGCCTTTGTTTTTAGTTCATCCTTTCAATCACGCAGTAACAAAATATGTAAGCCCAGTGCATGATCTGCGTAGATACATAATCATTGACGTGTTCAGATATTTTTGAAGTAATGAATGTTCAGATATTTATGGTCACTTGTAGCGTATAGAACTTAATGACATTTTAACTGTTCAGATGTATTTGGTCACCTTGTATGCTCAGATATATCTGATGGCGACTGTACCAACAAATAAAACTTACCTATTATTTCTTCTTCAATATCCGGAATCCAGGTAAGTGCTACCTGGGCGCATCATGAGACCTATAATGGCGGGCATCACGTGGTGCGCGGCAAAGTAAGTTCCGAGTCACGACATAGAGGGCGCCACAATCGGAGAGGAACCGGAAACGCTGATTTAAACGGTAGAAAGACAGGTGCTTGACTCAAGATGGATTCCGGATATTGAAGAAAAAATAATAGGTAAGTTTTATTTGTTGGTAAAACTCTCTATTTTCTTCCATTTCTCTGAGTAACACTACATAAAAAATGTTTTGAAGCAAAAATAAATACAAATAAATTTGGTGTTGTCGGCCTGACAGGTAAAGTTTTATTTTGTTCATTTGCAAAAATTAAAGAAATAATTTTCATAGAGCCTTGTGCCAAGTCTGATCAGAAAAATAAAATCTATTATGTTAAGCCTTCAGTGATTTGTTAAAAAAAATTGGGACAAGTATTTCATAGTTCATAGGAGTTTGGAATTAATATTGTTTATTTCGACATACTTACAGAAATATTTTTTTTGTAAAACGGAACATTTTCCTTTTGGAAGAGACATGAAGTAAATTTTTATACTTTTAAAAATTTGATAATAGGCTAGTTGACTCATGTCAAATTGCAGTATACAAATGTTTATTTCTTATAATGTTTAGTATGAGGAACCTAAATAAATTATTTCACTTCATAAAATTAGAAGATGGCTGTAGTAATTTAATTTGAAAAATGGTTTTTTAGTCTATGCTTTTTTTTAAACACTCAAAACGCTGTCCACCATTATTGTGACGTCAAAAACTTAGTAAATGTGTTAATAAACAACTGAACGTCATTGTCGTGTTATTGTGGTGTCTTTCGTCGTACTAAAATATATCTTTAAAAAACTTACATCTTGTAGAAAAATATCCGTTTATTGGTTTTGTTGACTAAATTTATGCTGGACTGAATTTGTGAAAGCAGAAATGACAAAACTCTTTGACTTAGTAGGTACACCTTAAAAAATGTATTTTTAAACTTAAAATATTATTCAATGAGTAGTCACATTAAAGTGATCTTTGCTAAAAAAATTACTTTCAGACTATAAAATTACAGGATTTAGCAAGTTTTATACATGACTGTGTTCATGTGTAGGTATGTATTTCTCTAGACAATTTAAACCACAACTTTTCTGGAGTCTTTAACGATGTGTTTATAAATTTTCGTATAATACAATCATGATAATTATTATATGTATCATGAAATCTATAAGAAATCATGGTTTTATAATATAAATTTAGATTCAGGTTATTTCCTACGAGTCCCGAATGTTTGTTTACGATTTTGTTGACGTCATAGCATAGATAATCTATAGACTAAAATGGCCGATAGCGTTTTTGTATTTCCATGAAAAATCTATTTTAAAATTAAAGTTTTGTAGCTTTCTAGGTCAAAAAAAATACAATTTTTTTTCGTTCTAATAGAACTATTATTATCCATTTAAAACATTTTTCCAAAAAGTGTCAAGTAGCCTATTTCACGATATTTCTATGGAAATAATAAACGTGGAATAATTAATAAACTCTATTTTTAAAGTTGCGAGCTAGTATGAAATAATTATACTTATTAAGTTTCTTAGCCATGTCCTTTGAGAAGTCACCAAAATTGTTTAAAGCCTCCTCCAAACCACCTCTGTTTGGAGTCACGATCACGGTAACTTGGTGTTTATACATCACGGAAGAACTCAACTTGGACAATTTCGTTTGCAAATATTTAGTAACGCAGTCACTAATGAGTGTTCTATGGCTACTACCACAGACATGGATAAAATTATCGATCTATATCTGTGATGTCTACAGACTAACACAATTGTCCTCGACGGCGACCGCAGATCGCCTCTGTTCGTGGGAGACTTGTATTACCAAACACAAATACGCTTTATCCTTCTATTCAACTTACCAACTGGAATTTATGTCCAAAGGACAACCACTCCTTCTCTATGAGGACCTCGAAGCCTCTCAGCGTGCGGTAATAGGGATCGAGCATTAGCATCGCCAATGCAGTTAATTGTGCAGTGCGATCCCACCCGTCAGAACAGTGGACCAACACGGAAGTCTTGTGATTCTCAACCTAGCAGAAATGGGTTAACTTAGTGTTAAATATTTTCAACACATTTGCTCAAAAAGTACATTCACGAAGGTTGTATACATTGTTCGAAAATTAAAAATAACGGGCTATACAATTCATTACTGATGATCGTCGTAATTTTACAGCACGATCATCATCGATCGTGCTGTAAAATTACATAGTAGTTAATAGTATATTTTAATACAGTTGCTCAAAAAGTGGCGTATTGCAGGGACGTGTAGCGTTCGGGATCTGGGCTATTTCACACTCGTGCTTTTTTTTTGCCTTTCCCGAACTCGTGCGTTTTCTTTCCCAACTGTCAAAATTATTTCTATTAAAAAAAACAACCATGAAGTTTTAACTAAAAAAAATCATAGAAGTTTTTGCGATTCATGCAAATAGGTTTATTTGTTTTTAAAAAGAAGCTACCTATACTAATTTGTCTAATATCAGAAATAATTAATTGATTGAATGAGTTAGGTAAGGTTTCAGTTCATTTCATATCATTAAATTTCAATTTCATTTCTTATAATAAAAAATACTAAGTACTAAAGACTTGGCTGTATGGGCAGTTCCCAGCCTACCAGAATGGGTGAAAAAAAAACTGCTTACATTCTACGGTTGGCGCCATTTTCCGAAATTTTCTTTGCGAGTTTAGTTGTTTTTTACACAAAATGAGTAATTTCGACCTAATTTTTTTTGAATTAACTCCACCGGAACTCAGTATAATTGCACAAAATGCTTCGGAGAACATTTTACCGGAAAAGTCAAAAATTCGCTACATATCTACATACGATGAATTTATTGCTTGGAAAGAAGAGAAAAAAGCAAATAGTTTTTTAGAAAATGTTATGTTGGCATACTTTTCCGAACTCTCAGCAAAATTAAAACCTTCTACGTTATGGTCAAGGTTTTCGATGATAAAAAGTATGCTGAAAATAAGGAACAACGTGGATATAAGTCAATATCCAAAATTAAATTCTTTCTTAAAACGACAATCAGACGGGTTTACCAGTAAAAAGTCGAAAATATTAACATCGAATGACGTGGAAAGGTTTTTGAAAGAAGCTCCCGATGATTGTTATTTAGCCACAAAGGTAATTTATTAATAAGTATACATATCTACATTTTTCTTTAGTGTTCAGTTTACAAAATCCCAAAATACAGTCAATACATTATTTATATGAATCAAATCGTTTTTTTTAGGTTGCTCTGATTTTTGGCGTTGTTGGAGCTTGCCGCAGAGAGGAGTTAGCCAATATTACTTTAAAAGATATTGAAGCCCATGGAGAAATGCTACTTATCAAGATTCCAAACACAAAAAATAAGATACCGCGAAGCTTTGTTGTTGAAGGAGATTTTCTCACAATAGTGAAAAAATATATGAACCAGCGGTCCCAAAAAGGAAAATCCGACCGTTTTTTTCAAAATTTCCAAAAAGGGAAGTGTACAGCTCAAGTAATCGGCATAAACAAATTTGGTAATATGCCAAAAGAAATAGCTACGTTTCTTGGTCTGCCGGATGCTGAGTGTTATACTGGGCACAGCTTCAGAAGGACCTCTGCTACATTATTGGCAGATTCAGGAGCCAATTTGACGTCCTTAAAGCGACTAGGTGGTTGGAAATCGGACAAAGTTGCAGAAAGCTATATTGGTGATTCATTAAACAACAAACTAGAAACTGGGAAAAAGATCACGCAATCCATTAATTTAAGGTCCAGTCCGTCTCCTTCACATGCTGAAGAGAATGTTCGTCCATCTACGAGTACCTTCGTTGATAATGATAATTCATCAGATCCAATTCCATCAACTAGCAAAAGCCATTGTATGACAAATATACATGAACAATCATACGAAATTAATAAAAGTTTGTCTCAAACAGTAAATATGCAACGTAAAACTTCCCCAGTTAGTATAAAAAACTGTACCAATTTCAATGTATATGTGAATTATAACTTTTATAAGAAATAAATGATTAGTTAATTGAGTTTATTGTGTTTTTATAATTTGATTAAATTGCTTCATTTTTTCGCAACTGTATTAAAAATAGTCGTTCAGTACACGTACGGAACCGTCATTGCAACTCGTTCCGACTGTCAACCCTCGCCTCGTTCCGACTGTCAACTAGTAATGAAATAGTATATTTCATTACTAGTACGGAATGGTTGTCATTGCAAAGAGTTCCGACAAATGTCTACCCGAGCCGAAGGTACGGTTCCGTACGTGTACTGAACGACTATTTTTAATACAGTTGCGAAAAAATGAAGCAATTTAATCAAATTATAAAAACACAATAAACTCAATTAACTAATCATTTATTTCTTATAAAAGTTATAATTCACATATACATTGAAATTGGTACAGTTTTTTATACTAACTGGGGAAGTTTTACGTTGCATATTTACTGTTTGAGACAAACTTTTATTAATTTCGTATGATTGTTCATGTATATTTGTCATACAATGGCGTTTGCTAGTTGATGGAATTGGATCTGATGAATTATCATTATCAACGAATGTACTCGTAGATGGACGAACGTTCTCTTCAGCATGTGAAGGAGACGGACTGGACCTTAAATTAATGGATTGTGTGATCTTTTTCCCAGTTTCTAGTTTGTTGTTTAATGAATCACCAATATAGCTTTCTGCAACTTTGTCCGATTTCCAACCACCTAGTCGCTTTAAGGACGTCAAATTGGCTCCTGAATCTGCCAATAATGTAGCAGAGGTCCTTCTGAAGCTGTGCCCAGTATAACAATCAGCATCCGGCAGACCAAGAAACGTAGCTATTTCTTTTGGCATATTACCAAATTTGTTTGTACACTTCCCTTTTTGGAAATTTTGAAAAAAACGGTCGGATTTTCCTTTTTGGGACCGCTGGTTCAAATATTTTTTCACTATTGTGAGAAAATCTCCTTCAACAACAAAGCTTCGCGGTATCTTATTTTTTGTGTTTGGAATCTTGATAAGTAGCATTTCTCCATGGACTTCAATATCTTTTAAAGTAATATTGGCTAACTCCTCTCTGCGGCAAGCTCCAACAACGCCAAAAATCAGAGCAACCTAAAAAAAACGATTTGATTCATATAAATAATGTATTGACTGTATTTAGCGATTTTGTAAACTGAACACTAACGAAAAATGTAGATATGTATACTTATTAATAAATTACCTTTGTGGCTAAATAATAATCATCGGGAGCTTCTTTCAAAAACCTTTCCACGTCATTCGATGTTAATATTTTCGACTTTTTACTGGTAAACCCGTCTGATTGTCGTATTAAGAAAGAATTTAATTTTGGATATTGACTTATATCCACGTTGTTCCTTATTTTCAGCATACTTTTTATCATCGAAAACCTTGACCATAACGTAGAAGGTTTTAATTTTGCTGAGAGTTCGGAAAAGTATGCCAACATAACATTTTCTAAAAAACTATTTGCTTTTTTCTCTTCTTTCCACGCAATAAATTCATCGTATGTAGATATGTAGCGAATTTTTGACTTTTCCGGTAAAATGTTCTCCGAAGCATTTTGTGCAATTATACTGAGTTCCGGTGGAGTTAATTCAAAAAAATTTAGGTCGAAATTACTCACTTTGTGTAAAAAACAACTAAACTCGCAAAGAAAATTTCGGAAAATGGCGCCAACCGTAGAATGTAAGCAGTTTTTTTTCACCCATTCTGGTAGGCAAAGGGAACTCCCCATACAGCCAAGTCTTTAGTACTTAGTATTTTTTATTATAAGAAATGAAATTGAAATTTAATGATATGAAATGAACTGAAACCTTACCTAACTCATTCAATCAATTAATTAATTCTGATATTGGACAAATTAGTATAGGTAGCTTCTTTTTAAAAACAAATAAACCTATTTGCATGAATCGCAAAAACTTCTATGATTTTTTTTAGTTAAAACTTCATGGTTGTTTTTTTTAATAGAAATAATTTTGACAGTTGGGTAAGAAAACGCACGAGTTCGGGAAAGGCAAAAAAAAGCACGAGTGTGAAATAGCCCAGATCCCGAACGCTACACGTCCCTGCAATACGCCACTTTTTGAGCAACTGTATTAAAAAATTCATTACGCACGCTTCCATACATGGCACCATGCATATTCTTTAGGTTTTTTTTTATTTCGATCGAATTTCCTCGGTAGCGCTTTTAGTCTATACCTATGTATTAAAGTGAGATACTTAAAAGAAAAAAAAGAGAGAAAAGATGTAGTTCTCATTTTCACCACCCGCACGTGGCGCTATTAGGAAATGAGCGATATTTTCTAATTTAATAAATTTCTTCATTACTTAAATTATGTAAAATGTTTTCTCGCAAATGTGTTGAAAACCCTTGTATGACATTATGCGGGCGGCCTCTAATCTATACTTATAATAAATCTGTAGAGAGGTCAATTCTGTACATGAAATATATTTTCAAAATAACTATCAGGGGGTGATAAGTGATCGATACTGATGCCAAAAATGCAATCAGTAAAATTTTTGTCTGTCTGTCTGTCTGTGTGTATGTTCCTTATAGAAACAAAAACTACTCGACGGATTTTAACGAAACTTGGTACAATTATTCTTCATACTCCTGGGCAGGTTATAGTATACTTTTCATCACGCTACAATCAATAGGAGCAGAGTAGTGAAGGGAAATGTTGGGAAAACGGGAGAAGTTACTCCATTTTTTAAGCTTCCGTCGCGTGTGGAGCCTTAATGGTTAAAGTTACATAGAAATCATGTATGACGGAAATATTCTACATAAAATTGTCTAAAAAATATCCCGCAACAGCATATGTCTATCTTTTATGGTTGACTCACAATAACACGTGTAACTCCTGATAGCTTAGTAGTTCGGAGCATTCTGATTATATTTGTTTACTCTTACGTTTATAATACTCTCACTCATCCCTAATTTAAAAAAGTTAACATTATTACCTATTCAATAAAAAAAGAATCATAGAAATCGGTATAGAAACACCAAACTTATACATGAAATAAGCCATCGCACCGTCGCACGTGAATACTGAATCATGCTTTAAGGATTATTTTTGTGTAACGGCTGCCGCGCTCGACACGGGTCGTGGCGGCGCGGTAGGGTATAAAAAGGCGGGAGGTCCGAAAGCGAGCTTCCCCGCCCCCCCGATCCTGAGAGACTTTCAGTCGCTCAGTCCCAAACCGATACGGATGCACATCAGGGTGCATCCGTCCTCTAAGCGCACTATGCAGTAGTATTTACTAAGGCAGCGCTGCATCATCCCCTTCTCAGGGGTTGACCGCATCAGATGAAGCCTGTAAGGCCCCTAAGGCCATAGGCACCCCCCACGGGTGTGTTTTAGTCAGTATGAGTCTGACATAACTCTACAGCCGGCTGTATGAGGATGAGGATTTCACACCCGCCATGAGGATTTCACACCCGCTCCCCCGCCTGGGAGGAAACAAAAAAAAAAGAAAGCAAGCTTCATTCAATATTTGGCTGTTGATGCGTTCAGAGCGTTCGACCTTATTGACAGACAATAATTGATATTGAGAAACCGTGCTTATCTTAGAATAAAAACCAAACATTTGTAAACAAAATTAGCAAATAAATCATGTAAAACGTGTAGAAAATGAGTACTGGAAAACGAAAATATGAGAATTTTAGTTTGGTTATAAATACAGGTAATAAAAATGACCGTTATTATCTATATATATGTATATAAAAGTCAAAGGTGACTGACTGACATAGTGATTTATCAACACACAGCCCAAACTACTGGACGGATCGGGCTGAAATTTGGCATGCAGGTAGATGTTATGACGTAGGCATCCGCTAAGAAAGGATTTTGATCAATTCTACCCCCAAGGGGATAAAATAGGGAATGAAAGTTTGTATGAAACTTTGTCAATTTTAAACCGATCGGGCTGAGACTTTGCATGCAGGTATAAGAAAAATCATAGATGAATGTCATTGTGTATAATACAAGCCTGACAACAAAAACTGTAGTCTATACTTCAGCTGTACACCGAAGCGAAGCGAGGGCGGACCGCTAGTAAAATATAAAATTGTAAGCCGTTTTGTTTGTCTAATATAAAATTAAAAAACGAAAATCCCTTAATATGTAACAAAAAGTGATCATTTAGGAAGATCATAATGGAGGAGTGGTTAGCGCGATCGTTGAAGTTAAGTAACTTTCGCAGTGGTCGGTAATTTTTTCATTTTATAGACATAATTTTTATATTATTTGTAATGGAAAGTGACTTCATGAGTTACTTCATATTGAAGTCATTTTTCAATTTGACGACTCTGTATATAATACAGGGAGAAAAAAACAGCCCTTGCTGAGTTTCTTGCCGGTTCTTCTCAGTACAATGTCTCCCGCCGTAGATTTGCGAACCGATGGCGTATCTTTTTGACATTCAAAGTGCTTGTAACAGCCTAGCTAGACTGAATAAACGATATTGCTTTTTTTTTATTGGAACCCATCCAATCACCGACCACTGCGAAATCAAAATTTACTATCTCGACCTCCTCCGTGCTTCAGAAGGCACGTTAATCCGTTGGTCCCGGCTGCATCTGCAGTCGTTAGGACCCTCTAATTGGCACTTTGCCCGCGTGATGGATCATGGTCATGGTCCAATCACTCTATTCCATCATTAGGGAAGGCCTGTGCTCCAGCAGTGGGTACATTAATAGACTGATGATGATGATGATCATTTAAAACTTTGCAAAAACACAATTTGACAACAGACTCTTCTTTTCGGAGTATAAAACGAAGAGTCTATTGTCGAATTAAGGCATGATAAACAATCTTATTCACATTTTACATCAAAGTAGAGTCAGGCTCGAAGACGCTCACCTTGTCAACAATCCGGACAGCACCAGCTAATATACATTTAATGTGTTTCAGCCAACAACTGGCTTCAATTCCACTAAACCATCTGGAAAGTAAAGCAAAATGTATTAAAAAAATTACTCTTAAACAGTTCTTATCAGAAATAAAATTAAGTCTTTAAGAAAACTGGACGACAGCGTTGAGCAGGCCACTTCTAAACATAAAATTGTGATGTGCATGCAACACTTAAAATTTTAATAACATCATAGTTGCAATATGGCTTCACATATTGTGAATCATCGGCGTGAAGACAAAAGAAATAATTTTAGGAGAGGTATATAGGATATTCCGCTTGAATTGGAGCGCCCGTCTGGGAAAATAACCGCCACCTTACAAAAGACCACAGTAAAAGAACACTTCCTTTTGGTGGTGTTGCGTTTCTGCCGTTGGGTAAGGTTCCAGGGCTCTATGGGGTAGGAAACAGGGTCAGAGCGTAGGCAACAGTGCGAGTGATATTTGTGATATCGCAAGCTTCTATAGGCTTATCATCAGGCGGGACATACGCTTCTTTGCCACCACCCTTTTAGCATAAAAAAGGAATACAATATTAGATTACAGCTTTGTTTATCTCTAATTCCGGTATCATATAGGGAATCGATATAGACAAGCACGTAGGCAGATCTTAGATTAAAACAAAATGGGAAAATACATGGGAAAATATAGATATCAAAAAAATGTGATCCGACTCAACTACATAAGCAACTCTCACACACGCACACGTCTGTAAATAAACATTCAATCGAGCGAGCGAGATAAAACTGTACGATTCAACGCAGCGCGAGCGTTGTCCTTTTCTTGATATCAAAAAGGCGATTACGTAAATAAAATTCACGACAAACCATGATTTTTGAGAAATTATGTATTTATAGTTTTACGAATGAAAAGTGTTGCCGAGGCATTTGTTATTTAAAGGACATGGTAAAATTTTGTATGAGCGACTGCCCTAGCAATGTATAAATATTGTACTTAGTAATATATAATGCAAAATGTCTGAATATTTATAATTTCTATGAAATAAGGCTCAGGAACTTTTGATAAAGTCACAATCTTGAAAATTATGAGATCTCCTACGACGTCATTACCTTGCTACATTTGATAAAAGATTTTGCATATTATTTATAGGGCCTTCAATTTCGCATTTTCTTAGAATATTTCCTCCCATATATCTGATTAACATTTCACAAAAAGTATTTTTAAAAGTAAAAATAAATACAAATAATAATATGTTGTCGTCGGCCTGACATGAAATCTGTGAAGTTTTATTTTCTTCATTTGCGAAAATCAAAGCATTTATTATCATACAGCCTTCTCTCAAGCCTGATCAGAAAAATAAAATCTATTATTTTAGGCCTTCAGTGAATTGTTATAATAAGAATAAGTGCCAAATATGTCATAGTTCTTGGGAGTATTGAATCTATAATTTTTTATTTCGATATACTAACAGAAATATTTTTAGTACACATTTATAGTTCATTTATTTTTGTAAAACGGAACATTTTCGTTTTGAATCAGACATGAAGTCAATTTTTATACTTTTATATTTTTGATTATTTTACGAAAGTTGTATGAGAATTATAAACACGTTATAATTAATAAAAAAATATTATGAAGTTACGGGCTAGTGCAAAATAATTATACACGTTGTGGGCAGTTTCTTAGCCATGTGAACTATTTATGTTCTTTATAAAAGGCTCGAAGGCATTGTTTTATCTTTATAACACAGAATATACGCAATATTGTTATTTTGAGTGCACATGCAGCGTGTTTGAATGTCCAATTGTGACTAAAGCGAAATGTGGTCATCTGTCACAATTTAAGCGGATCACTTTTGAGCCGCGAGTGGCGTATCTTCCCTTTTTGTTTTAATCTAAGTGGCAGATAGCTTGAAATAAGTAGTAATATAATCAATTTTACTGGCAACCAGTGATGTATAAAATATTATTGATGGTGCTATCTAAACTTCTGCAGCACTCGGCGGCTCGCTTTCGCCTTTATATGTGCAGATTAATATGTTTTAGGATGTACATAAATCTACTATAAATATTGTAAATAAAAATTATTGTTAAAACCTAACCTGGCTTGATCAATCTGTGGGAAACAAAGCTCTTTCAACTTGCGCAAACTTTCTCTCATAACGTGAATATTGTGAATATCCAGGAATACAAGTTCGGCGTTCTGGTAAGCATCTTCCGATTCATATCTGGAAGAAAAGGAAAAATGTGAATTTTGGACACTCTGTTCATACAGAAATGGCATTTCTGATCATTAATTCTAATCAGATTTTATACACGACTCTTAAAGCCGCCATACACGAGCAGTTTGAAGAAGTCAGGATGAACTGCTACAAGCTTCGACTGCATAGTGAAATACAGTCTTCTATGTACACTAGTGATGTGCCGGATCGTTAACTGACTGACCGGGCAGTCCGTGTATGTTGATCACTAGCTAACTGCTTGAGCAGTCCGTGTATGGCCACTCTTAGATTATAAAGTGTTCCACAATACGGACTGACCCCCAACTGCAATGACTGTCCTGAAGTTGCTATCAAACTTTTGTATTTTTTTATAAATGCGAAAATGGGTCTGTCTGACTATTTGTTGTCTTTTTACGCTTACACGCTAAACTGGTATAGAGATAGTTTAGAGTCCTGTGAAAGAATTATCCCAGGAATGGTCCTTTAAGAGGGTGAGAATGGGCCTACAAATTACTATGGGAAACCACGCAGACGAAGTCGCACTATTATGAATATAGTGTGTGTAATAAATATTAATAACAAAAATAATACTTATTCAATAAAATCAAATATAACTGACCCTCCTCCCTTAGCTTTATTTGCAATAGCATTGGCACTAGGCCGAGCATCCATGATGAACACTTTGTGCGCCTGAGCATTAGCATCCATTATCAGTTGTATGTACCGCTCATCTTCACGACTGCGTTTGCCACTCACCTATTTAATAAAAGGATTTAATTCTAAACATAACTCATGTTGAAACTACATATTTAATAATTCTTAATTACGTATTCCACCATTACTGATGAAGCATGTTCAATTGATCCTTATCTATTAGTAATAAGGTCGACATTGAATAACGCACAACCACAGTTTGGGTTTGCACTATTTTTTGTTGAATTTTTAAGGAAGGTGTAGTTGACGTTTTAGCTATCATCATAACCACCATCGGCCTATTAATGACCCCAATGCTGGGGCACTGGCCTAGAGTATGGATGGAATAGAGAGATTGAGCCGTGGTGGTTTGTTGGCGCTAACAGACCAGATGCAGCCTGGACAAACGGCTTAACATGCCTTGCTAAGTACAGCGGAGCTCGATATAATAAGTTTTTAGTCACCCATTCAATTACCGACTATTGCGAAAGTTGCTTTACTTCAAGTATCGCAAACCGAACGCGTTAACTACATGCGACGTCGAGCTCGACTTATCGTTCCAGTGATATTTATTTCTTAAGTACGTACTCTCTTAAATGCTTAAAGTCAGTATTCCACTAAGAGGCTGCAACGAATAAGAAATCATATGGATTACTCTTTTACAAAAGCCGCAAGAACTTGCGATGTGAATTGCTGCGATGCAATTTCGTGCGGCAAAGCTTTGATTAAGGGTCACCTTAATAAATACCTTCAACACACAGTAGTAGCCGTATTTGACGTGTTTTAGTAATAGCTAAATGAATCGCAAAAAGATTGTTGCACTGCTGTTATGTTATTGTTAGATATAGGAGAAAAAAAATGGTTCATCCATTTATTACGATTACAAACGCTGATAGGAACTATTTTATTCGAAAATACCAGAAGTTTGAGAAAAGAAGATAAATTTATATTTTAGAATGAGCATATCTTCATTAGAAACACTTTTGAAATTATTATCACCCTGTCGACAAAAACCATCATACAAGTGAAATCTCAGAGCGCGCCACCTATAATGGCGTCACCAAGTGTGACGTAACATCGCAGGAATGCGAGATGCGAATAAAGGTGCGATCCCACGATGTGTGTTGTCGAATGCGAGAACGCGCCGCGCAGGGTTGCCAAACGTATGAGAACTCTACATTTGCCAACCCTGCGCATACGTTTTAGCAGTCTCTATACATGATACAAGGTCAATTGTAATCTCGTATACTTTGATATGAGATTTGAACAATGTTGACTGTTTGTGTCATGTTCACAAACAAAAAATATTATCAGTAAGTAAATAAATGTCCAGTCCACAAAGGATCGACTAAGTAAGTACAGCTTCACTATGCCATCACAAATTATTGTACGAGATATCTATTTACCTCGTATCATGTATAGAGACTGCTAAACCTCAAACGTTACAGTTCTCATACGTTTGGTAACCCTGCGTGGCGCGTCCTCGCCCGCGACTACGCAAATCTTGGGACCGCACCTTTAGATTAATTTTATTTATTTATTTAATCATTTATACATCATTTTATCATATTTTAATACCTTGCCAACCTGTGAACATCAGGTTGTTGGCAAGCCAACGCTCGTTTTCCATACAATGGTGTCGATTCTGGCACGATTCTCTAAATCTAAACTTAAATTTGACAACAGTGTATCCTTGTCATTCTCTATACAGTATGAAAAGGACAGACTGATGTTAAATTTAGATTTAAGTTTAGAGAATCACGCCGGAATCGACACCATTATCACGTTAAAATTAAATTATAAAGATCTGCCGATCTTTCTAGCGGGGCATTCGTGCGAGCTCGCAGATATTTGCGATGCGATGGGCGAAAAATCCCAGCCATTCTCATGAACGGCGCGTTGATGTATATTATACCAGAGAATTACTTACCCCTACCAAAGGCTGACTACACCGAGTAATTGTGGCCTGCGAGCTAGGGTGAATCCAAGCCAACACGGGTATTCGACCGCGGGACCTGAATGCGGCAACAGATCTCAGCAGGTCATCGTTGGCACCTGCCGGCACCGCCCACACGGACGGATAGCTGTCGCACACCTCGTACTTGTCGTTAATACGCGTTATACGCCACATGTCGTTGTTAACACCCTAAAGTCATTCAGAAAAATAAGTAAAGTTAACAACTAAATACTGTTATTAAGAAGTCGTGGTTGTTTATACACTCGAGAGCAATGAATCCGAGTCGCTTAAAGAATCCTAAAAATCTCACAAACTAAGAATGCTAGCTTAATGAAAAAAAATCTAGCCAATTAAATGCTTACTCCTTAATTGAAGATATTAAAACATCTTAGTTATTTTAATCTATGCATATAATAAAATGGTAAGAAAAGTCATAACTATACATTGAATATTTCTTTTAAAGAATACTCGGGGCGTGATGTACAATCTATACCGAAGCCAAAAATATAGTTTTTTGATTATAGTATATTATAGTTTGTTGATTTTTTGTCTGTATGTATGTCCAGGATAAACTCAAAAAGAACTGCATGGATTTACTTCAAATTTAGCACGAATTATTAAGAAGTCGGGTCAACATATAGGCTACATATTATCACGAAACTCCATCCTAACGGAGTAATACGGGGGTTGGAAGTTTGTATGAAAGTCCTATGTTTTTGAGGTAAGAGACTTGAAATTGTATGCTCTATAGATAGATATGTGTACAGGTGTACTAATAATGGATCTTTAGAAATAAACTCCCTTTTGGGGTCAAAAAGTATGTGAAAACAACTAACTCCACGCGTACGAAGTCGCGGGCGGTCACTAGTTATATCATAAAAAAAACAAATTTGAAAAGGTAACTTTCTAAAGTTGGAACTACGAAATTACTGCATTTGATTTTGCTTTTGTTTCTCATCTGTCATTTATCTATTATATAAACCATGGCGATAGTGTTCAATGTTAGAAATATTGCACGATGGAAGACACAGAGTATATAGAAGACCTGGGAAAAGATTCAAGCTAGCATGCATAGAAGAAAAAGTAGCCTAGGTGGTGGATCTGTACTTGTGTGAGCCGGAATTTCATCTTTGAGCAAAGAACTGGTGTTCATAGAAAACGGCTGTTTAACTAGCGAAAGATATGTGGAAGAAATCTTGGATGAAGACGTTGGTCCATTTAAAGTCAATTTGGGTGAGGATGCTATATTTATGCATGACAATGCCCGACCTCATAAAGGTTGGATTGTGAATGACTAACCTTCAAGAGATGAATATTACTCGTAACTATGGAGTGGCCAACACGCAGCCCAGATATCAACCCGATCGAGCATGCTTAGGATGAGCTAGGGAGATGCGTAAAACAACGAAACCCTACCCCGATTACGCTTCGTGAGCTCAAAAATTGCACTTACAGAGGAATGGGAAAATATTCCCAAAAATCTTATAAGAAACCGGGGTTTGGCATGCTGTACACCAAACAAATACAAATTATTAAAATTCAAGAAAATCGTAATGTTGTTTCAAAAATGTCATGTTTCCTGTTTTTGTTTTACGGCGAGATCACCGAGCTTTTTTCTTTATGTATTTTTCTGAAAATAAAATGCGGTGACCCTTAAGTAAACAATAAACTTTATTACTTTCATTTAAGGAGTATTTAATTGTCTATTAAACACAATTTATTTAATTAAGTTAGCATTCCTAATTTTCGAGATTTTTAGGATTATTTATATGACCCGGATTCATTGCTCTTGAGTGTATGTATGTATTTCTACAAAATGTATACTGATACTTGCATATATATTTAGTTGGATAGAACTGACATATTCTATCTGTTACTCTAGTATTCCATAACAGAAGATTTACAGTAATTATTATGGGGCTAGGCTAATTGGGGTGGTAAATATAAATAGAAAATTGGCTGCGCATACGGCAAACTCCTAAGATAGCATTTAATACGCTCTATTTAAGGAAATTATCCAATAGAATTTTCTGTCATAGGTGGAAGTAATAACACTAGGGATGTGTTATTGTTACGTTAAACAGCCATCATGCTATGATATGAAAGTATACTTTTTAACCGGAAAAAAGGGTAAGGTTTCTGTGAGGTTCTCATAAAAAATAATATAACGCGATAAAAGACGCAGGCAGAAATTAGTATAAATTTAAATTGTTCATTACCATCCGTCGCAGTTCTGCAAGAGGGTCATACACATGCCAGCCATCTTCTGGAAAGTGTTCCGAGTAGCTGAAGGCAAACAGAGGCAATTTATGGGACAGAGGAAATGCTAGTTGCTGTAATTTCTCAAATATTCCACGGCGAGAGTGATTTTCCTGTTTATGAGCAAATCGTAAATTCCTCATGTCCTAAAACAACAAATTAACACTTTCAGAAATTGTAAGAGAATATTTTGTGCAGTTTTGATAAAAAGACAAACAGTGTAGCGAACCGACCTCCTTGTATATTATTTAAAATTCGTTTTTGATAGTTTTTACTTTTGTTCTTTTCTTGTTTCTTGTCATTGTCTCATTATGTAAATACGTTGGTACATAGACTTTGTTAACCTAAGTTTCTGTGTTTTTTTGCGTAGGGAAATACCGAGCATAGCTCTCTCCATTGCTCGTTGTGTGACCTTGAGCCTTTTTATGAGACCCGCAATAAAGGACCAAGTTTCGCTTCCATAGGTCAATAAAGGACCAAGTTTCGCTTCCATAGGTCATCACTGGCAATATACACTGGTCAAAGACTTTTGACTCGAGACACTGAGGTACTTTGGTCTAGAAGAGTTTCCAGTGCTTCCCGAACGCTGCTTATCCAAGCTGGATACGACGAGAGACCTCTTTCTCAAAGTTGAACTTACCTAACTGGACTGTCTGTCCCAGGTAAACGTAATGATCGACAACTTCGAGTGTAGTGTTACAAGTTTTAACTGAGCGGGTATTACATGGGCATTCGACATAATTTTACTCTGATCCATGTTCATCTTAAGACCCACTCTTTGCGAAGCACTACTAAAGTCTACGGGCATCGTTAGGATCTTCCAAGGTCTCAGCCAAAGTACTACATCATCGGCGAAACGAAGGTGCGAAAAGTACTCGCCATTGATGTTGATTTGATACCTCGTCTTCTTCACTCCAGAATCTTGAAAATATCCTACAATGCAGCTGAACAGTCTCGGAGATATCACATCTCCCTGTCTCACGCCTCGTTGCAGTTGGACAGGATTAGAGGTCTGGTTTTGTAATCGGACTGACATAGTGGAATTTTCGTAAAGGTACCTCAACATACCTGTAGTCCACCTGGCAGCTTTGGAGAGATATTAACACCACCCAGATCTCAATAGAATCGAAGGCTTTCTCATAGTTCACGACCTCAAACAAAGCGGCAGATTATACTCTACGATCCTCTGTATAACCTGGAAGTGAAATGGAGTTGTGGAATATAGCTGTCCGTCTATAAACTCAATCTCCCTCAGGATTTCAGCTTTAGATGAAATTATGCTACCGCAGTCAGTCTTCAGCTTCGTCAGTTGGCTCTGCCCAATAGACAGATCTCTCGTCTATTGGGCAGAGCCAACTATTCTCTATTTAGCCGCCTGTACCGACTTGCATCTCCTGAATTCTGTAGTCTCATTTCGTTCCACTGTTTCATGAGTAGGAGAGACTTGCCTGAAAGTTACTTTATTTTTGGTACGGTGGCCTATAAGATACTTGGACACTACCATACGGATAGTATCCGCCACGGTGATGTTCAGATCGTCCCCATTAAAGCAGTTTTCAAGGGCTTCGAATCGGTTTTGAAGTTCGAGTTGAAAGCTCTCGGCGTTTTGGAGTTGTGCTGACCGACATAGACATAATTGAATATTAGCTTTCAATGATGTCTCTGTAATCAACGCCGTATTATAAGTCGACCTGATAAAATCGATTTCATTTCCTACTTTGCCATCCGAACTCAGCCAGGTCCATTTTAGATTTTGGGGTTTTTTGGAGGAGTTATCATATACAGGTTCTCCTTCTCTATAAAATCCTCTCCTTGGCCGACACACTTTAGATGGTGATCACTTTGTTAACAAGGGACTTGTGGACGATAAACACTACACCGCCTAGGGACTGTTGGTCGACTGTTACTCTCGGTAGTATAGTAACTCTCGGTAGTATAGTAACTCTCGGTAGTATAGTAAGTAACCGGAATTGAGGATTACGGAGTCCTCTTTCTCTCTTCGGACTTCAGATAGACTACTACACTAACTTACTAACAGTCGTCGTAGGTGGTAGCTGGACCTTACCCGGGGATTCTTAACATCCCTTGCCAGTTACCATAGCTGCTGGCTAGGGTGGCTAGGGTGGCTAGGGCTAGCAGGGCTGCCGGGGATTAGGTGCCGATCTTGAATTGTGTTTAACATCTTAGGCCCCCCTAAGTAATCGCCACGCTTGGCAGGTGGGGTGGTGATCGCAGTATGACCATAGAATTGAGGAAGCAGAGAAGACGCTGCTGCCCGTCTTCAGCTGGCTGTGTTCCCGTAGTCACCTTCTATGACACTTATGGGACGAGATAGGGTGGTCGTATTAGTGCCCAATATTATAATCAAACAGCATGAGACTTGTGCCGAATTACAGTCACCCGACGTCCGGAAAGCTAGTGTGCATAATCTAAGCAATTGTGCTCACAAATGGTGCAACGGAGTTGTGTCCATGCTCACACACTTGTAATGACTGTCGTACTCTTTCGACCAAATGCAGAAGACTTGGAGGGATGCTTACATAGCATAAAGTAAGCTTACATTAAATCTATTTTATTTTGATGCGCCATGGTAAGTGAATTAACAAAAAATTGCAAATAAACAAAAATGAAACTCACGAAAAACAAAAAAACACAGGCTTGAAAATTTATATGGTCCATTTTCGAATTATTATGACGAATTTCAGCCAATCGCATTGTAACTGAATTCAAAAAGAAATGCAAACGTACTACAATTTGTGTATCACTTTATTATTTTTATCGCGTAATAAGACATTCCTTTCATTTAAAATGCTATGTTATTTAGCAAAACATAATCCTTATGATTAACCCTTTTGATGGTTATCATAAAATATGTCGTGTTTTGTTTTCGACATATTCCTGAGTTTGATTTCCAGTTGTAACAGGCGATTTTAAAAAAATCTGTGATTGCAGTTCTAGTTATTATTAAAAATAAAACGATGTCTTCTTTCAGTAAAATATCCTATCTTCAATATTTAATATACTTTCCCTCCGTGTGAGGTAGCCGTGGGACGCCGTGTACATCACAAAGTGCATTGGATTTAACTTATAGTTAGAACACATAACATAAACTTTAATGTTATAGGCAATTTAAAATGATACAATGGAAAGAAATGTCAATTTGTCTTAAAAATTTAGCTCAATCATAACAAAACCAAGAAAAGTGAAATCAATCATTTTCTTCTGATGACGAGCCAGATGAGCTATCTTCGCCTGTATATATAATTATTTTATATTATTATCAATATTGAGGTCTCTATCATAATCTTCCTTTATTATTTTTTGGGTCTTTTCTACCACTTTTGGCCAATCTTCTTTAGTTATTTTATCACAAGCTTCTTTTAACAATGTCATCATATTCTTAGTGAAGATTGGTGGCTTTGTATTATGACGTGCTGCATATCCTTTGACCTGAGCCCAGATTAATTCAATAGCATTGTACTGACAATGGTACAGCGGCGTTTTTATGTTGAAGTGCCAATTCATCGATTTTATATCTTAATTTTGCAGGTTTATTTTGTTTTAGTAATTCCAGCAGTTCAGCTTTCAATAAATTCATGTCAGCTTCTATGCCTTTTCCTTGTAACCACGCCACTAAATCTGCCTTTTTGCTTGCTTGAGTAGGTGCCTTATCTATTTGAACTAAATGGTAAGGTGCATTATCCATAATTATTGTGCACTTTTCGGGGAGGTTTGTTAACAACTTAGTAAACCACTCTAAGAATTTATTTGCATCCATTTCTTTGTGGTATTCTTTTGTACTTCTAGACTCGAATGCGAGTGGAGCATCGTGCATAAAACCTCCCACGGCAGATCCGGCATGGCAGATTATTAGGCGTTCACCCTTACCCATTGGCACTTTTGAACAAGATGCCTTGGTATCATCCGTCCATGACTGTGGCATGGTATGATTCGAGTTCAGCCAAGTTTTATCGATAAATATTACACTATCCCAATTTGTAATTTTGTTCATTTGCCTCAAAAATGATACTCTGTGCAAAATTATATCATAATTTTCCTCTTGTCGGTATTCTTGTATTTGAAGGCCCATACTTTTCCTTCAAAATTTTTGCCGATTCCAAGTGCTTCTGCTACGCGATGTTGCACTTGTGTTACGGGTAATAATGGTCCACCATTAACTGATTCGCGTTCGAAGCATTCGGTTAACTTCACAACCAATTTGCGTGATTAGCTGTTGATTGTACGTCCTCTTTCCGACATGTTGAAACAGAGTTTGCACAATATAACAACAAACATCAAAATCGAGTCCATATTGCTATGTATAATCAATGTCCGGAATAGAAGAGCCAAGGTCAACGTGATAGTAAACAAAAACAGTCCAAAAGCAAAGTCGAGTCTAGAAAAAATATCAAACATAAACGAGCGCACAGTCAACTTCACAAGATGTCAAACGAAAGACTGCGCAGTACGCGGTACGCGCATGGATCACGTGCCGCTTGGTCATAGACAAACCATTCTATATAGAGAAAGGAAACAAATTATGTACGGCTTCGATAATTCTTTTAAAGACTGACTTTTCAGTCAAAATTAAGTTTAAAGTTTAGATAATCACTCAAGAATCATCACCAATATTTTATAATTTATGATTAAAATTGAATGAAGCTGGCGAGATTAAAAAAATAATTGATTGCATCATTATTATTAAAAGAATAAAGTCTGAGAATTTAACTGTTTTTAAAGACGTTTCGTAATAACCACAAATTGCATGCTTCTATAAATTAAGTGCAAAAAGAAAAGTCGGAATATATTCCTTCATCTTATTTAACACACCACAAAAAGCATGAAGTTTTTTAAAATACTTTAAGTATTTATTTTTTAGTATTTTGTTTTTTCCAGTTGCGTTCCAAGATGGTTATATGTTACATTCTATGGTCTTTCTCAAATGTCAAAGCGGACATCTTACATTGTGACGACTTTACTAGCAGGTCAGTCTTAAGCTAGTTATTCTCCCTGGGGCTTAATTGTGTGACTTTTACTCCTACCTTTTAATTTATATTTGGGAAAGAGATTGATAGATAAACAGTTGCATTGCTTTAAAGGAATTGTAAAAAGAGTTATAGTTAAGTATTCAACCCCCTGTTTTATATATTAAACAAAAAGTTGTTACCTTACAGAATACTTCAATACCATAAGAATTTTCTCCTTTAGAAGAGGCACCACCAACTTTTTCGATTCGAGAAACCTGTAATATTAATTGTTTCATATAAAAAAGTGTACATTTTAAGAGACTTTTAAGTTACGGATCCAATATTAAGGTGAAATACATTAACTTTATTTTATATGTAGGACCAGGGAAGAAATTTAATAATGCAGTTAAATGATTTTTCATAAATATGATCAAGATGTTATTCAAATTAGCTATTAATTTATATCAAAGAACAGGGCAAACTACTATTAATTGTTTTATTGTTAATTCACTTACAACTCCTAGTGGAACACTCAAAGTACACTGCAGAGCTGCAGCATCCAAAGGTCTAAAATGAAGTTGATAGTTTGTGACCTTCAGAATGCCTCGTATAGGACCACTAAATGGGCATAAGTATGTAACATCACGAGCTACGCTCATAACTTTCTCACTATCCAGTAACTGTATATCCCCCAAGACATGTGGCTGTAACATGCATGCAAAATAAATCTTAAAAGTTTTCAAAACCAAAAATTAGCTTATGTCTAAAGCTACTATAGACATTTAAGAATTCAAAATATACAAGCCTTAAATAGCTCATTGTGCTGCCTTTGGCTGTGAATCCGGTTCACAAACAGACAAATATGAATAACACGAGGTTTACTCATAATGCAATTATATCTAATAGCCTGAAGAGATTAACTGAACTTACTGAGCAAGCCAACAATGAGAACCAAAACTACGGTAAGCCTACAGGAAGTATTGATGTACCCAACTAATATAGAGCTCTTTACGAATAAATTAAAACGATTTAGGAAACTTACGGAATCTTGTCCGTGTTTAGAATTCAATGAACTTGATTTCGAGTCGGAATCCAATGAATCGGAACTAGCATTCTTTGACAATGAAAATTCAGAGTTTAATATCTCTGAGCTGTTGTGTTTATCCATTATATATATATTTTCTTTACGGAAAACAAACACTGAAAATAAGTTATAAGTAAAGTTAATTATTAGTTACAATTAATAATATTAAAATTAAACAGCAAAACATGAACTTTCTTTTTTTTTTATTTAGAAATTTAACGGCTTTGGACAAGTCCATACAGCCTATACATTATTAACAACATGAACTTTCTCATTGACATTGACATATATTGTCAATGTCAAAATACTGTGTTGTGTAGTTTGCGAACATGGACTTATTATTTCGATGTTCGCGATCGCGAACGAACTACAGTTTGTCTATTAAGTCGTGACATGAATGTTTGAGGAACTAACATTATTCATGTGTCTGGCAATACCAAACTGATGTACATCAGCTGGGAGTTTTTGGCGGGATTTCATCGAGTGCGGTTGGCGTCTTATTTTAATTATTCTTAATCGTTCATAGTGGATATTGTGAAATAAAATTGGTGTGGTTTTGTGTAACAACTGTCTGCGTAACTGAAGAATTAGTAGAATCATTGAAATATACGCTGTTTCGGTCAAGTGGACGTGAGAATTTTATTGTAGTGTTGACTACCTCACAGAAGCTTATCGAAAAAGCCAACTCGATACATTTCGTGCCAAACACTCCAAGAAACATTAGAATGCGTCACACCGACATTCAAATGTAAAAACAAAAAGAAGATTAATTTAATTAAAGACCAGGCTGTATGGGCATTGTTCCCTTTGCCTTCCCTAAAACAGGAGAACTTCAACAAAAAAAAATGTACATCAGCTGTCATCAATGATCCTACCTCATTGGCTGTCATCGAGTTTCAGTTGTGGAACAGTTTTCCTTTTGTATTTTTTATTGTTTGGATTAAACTGTAATAAATTTAGACGAAACTACGCAGAAAGGTATAAAAATGAGTAAAGTAAATCGGAGTGGCACGCGGGAAGTGATTTTTAAAGTTTTCCAGCGATGTTTCGAAGACTGGATGAATTTTGTGGGATTTGGATGATGGTTATGGGCGAACAGCATCTATGACGGGTATGTAATCGTGTAACTATTTGTTTGTAATCTGCCTGAAGTTACAAATTTACTCAATTTACGATTTTGAGACCAAAAAAGGCACTATTTACATTGCACATTTTTAGGTTAGAATGACATTGTAAATAGGTAATATTGTAGTACGACCATTTCTTTTGATACGTTATTATGGTTTGAATTAATTGCTTCATGTCAATAAGTTATTGTTTCTATTCCGTTACATATTTTTTTACTTTTTTTCAGGAAAATCAGAGAGTCGAATAGTCAACGAAGGTTTTAAGGATGATGGAAAGTTTGAAACTCCTGGGAAAACAGGCAAGGCCGACCAAAGAAAAAATGGTCACAAAGAACCATGGCCAGATGCTTTTAATGAAGATACCTATCACTAATTACTAACTAACTAACTGCACATTTACAAATTGTTTCTCTAAATAAACTTTTTATATACTATAAAATGATTTTTAGTATTATTTTCTTAACAAGTGTGTTAAAAAGCGTCGTATGATGATACTTGTGTGTATTGATGATTACCTAACGGCTCTGGTCTCAATGGTACCTCAGCGGTAATCACCAACATTACACACTTTTACACTATAAAGTACTATTTTATCTATAATAGTTTTATTCTGATTCAATTAAATATGCTTGGCTAAACTTTTTATAGGCATAGGTACCTACTATATACACTTCCGGACACATCTATTGGCCCACCTTGTATTTTCAGTTTCGTTTGGTCCTAGCTAAAATTTTATATTAGGTCGAGCAAAAGTTTTTATGCAGTTTTGAACCTGGCACATTCCCAATTTCATTCAATAGTCTTTTTTTGAATTTCGAACACAGAATTTAAAGAAACAAAAGACAATTTGGAGCCTGTTTGTTGATATCAAACAATCGAATACTAAGAAAACTTGGTTTTATTGGTTTACTTGGATTTAATTCTTGAAAAAGTGATTGATATCTTTGGTTTTGCAACAAATATTACTTATTCTTAACATTAAGGTGAGGTTCTATCAATAATCTATGGATACTTCACCTGAAGTCGCCGCCCAAGCTGTGGCACTTATTCAGGCCGGACACAGCCAAAGAAACGTGAGTGCTCAACTTAATTTAAGTCGATCTGCGGTCCGAAATGTTTATCGGAGATACCTAGAGACTGGCGGCTTTGTTCGTCGCCAAGGAAGGCCACGATCTCGGGTCACAACTGAAAGGCAGGATCGATTCATCGTGACGACCAGCTTGAGAAATCGTCACCTTACCTCCATTGAGATACAAAAACAAATTCGCGACTTCCACGGAGTATCTGTGAGCGCTCGAACTGTTCGGAGAAGGTTAAAAGAACGCGATATGGTACCACACAAGTCAGCTAATGGGCCCAAACTAACGCGAGCCCACCGAACAGCGCGCCTTCATTTCGCACGCAGTCATTTAAATTGGACACAGCAAGATTGGAGCCGTGTACTCTTTTCTGATGAGTCTAAAATTGTGTTACATGGCAATGATGGAAGGAAGAAGGTCTACCGACGTAAGGGAGAGCGTTTCGCACAATGCTGCTTTGAAGAGAGGGTTGCTTATGGCGGTGGCTCATGGACTGTCTGGGGCGGTATATCCGCGAGCGGCGAAACTCAACTTGAGGTTGTTACAGGACCACTGCTGCCAACATTAAATGCTGAAAGGTACATTCGTGAGTGCTTAGAACCTCACGTGATACCATACGCGGACTATGTGGGCCCAAATTTCCTTTTTATGCATGATAATGCAAGAGCCCATGCGGCCGGCATCGTCAGGGAATATCTTTGGGATGTGAACATCACAGTTATGGACTGGCCAGCCAGAGGCCCAGACATGAACCCCATTGAGCACAGGTGGGACGAGCTAAAAAGACGTGTTAGGGCTCGTCAGCCAGTTGCCCAGACGATGCAGGAGTTGAAAACTGCCATAGAAGAGGAATGGGAGATGATCCCTCAAAATTTCATAGAGCGGTTGATAAACTCTATGCCTAATCGTATGAGAGCTGTGGTAGATGCCTATGGAGGCAACACGCGTTATTAAATTAAACCTTTATTTGATAAAACATGTTTTTTATTCAAAAATCAATTGCCTTTAACAAGGCGCATATCCGACTTGTTAGGCGTAGCTCCATGTCGTATAGTATTCTGAATTCAAATTTAAAACAATACGATCGAAAAAGATGGTAAAATGTATCAGGTTTAAAACTGCATCAACAGTTTTTGTTCAATCTAGCAATCATATTTCGGTAGGGGACATCGAAACCTAAACTCTAAGGTGGGCCAATAGATGTGTCCAGAAGTGTATAAAACAGAAACAAAATACGACTGTATAGTGTGTCTTATTAATTACCTATTTTACTTGTATGAACTGCTAGTATCAAAATCATTTTGGTAAGACTATATAGGGTTGCTACATGCATACTAGTGGCGCCATCATTTAATGTCACGACTTTATAGACAAACTGTAGGTCATAAGCATGAACCAGCATAAAGGTACGGCCACAGGGCACGCTGGTTCTGAATCAGACTCAGAAAACAAGCGCGAGAAATAAACAGTGTAGTTTAAGCAGGGTGGCCATAGTGGCAGCAGGCAACTGGTTGCCCGCGCAGGTTTCGGAGTCAGGCACTTTACCGGAATGTCTAGTCAGTAAAAGCTTTCTTAAAAATGATTAGAGATTGTTATTATGACATTAGTAGGGCAAAAATATATTTATTTCAAAAATAAAGTAAATATTATAACCATTATACTTTCTATATTTTTCCTATTTTTTTTGCCAGCTACTATATTTTTAGAAGTAACGCTTCAAAATTGCTAACCTAAATTGCTGAAGTTGGTAACCCTAACTGCAGGGTATAGTTGCATATGTGACCTTTTTCTTGGTTGTGTTATAAACAAACATTTAGTGCCTTGCTTCTTGTTTGCGATCGACTCTTGTTTCTTAATTTATATATTAGAATTAAATAAAAATTAAAACATAATGAATATTCATTATGTTTTAATTTTTATTTAATTCTAATTATAATATTCTATATAGAAGCGCTTATCGCAAAAAGAGGAAATAATAAGTATCGAGAAAGTTTTTCTTAACCCTGCTGTATGGGATAAAAGAAACAAGAACCATTCAAATAGGAATGTCGTTGATAGGTGCTGGCAAAACAAACTCAGAAAGTATTGACTTATTTCTAATTTTTTTATAGCAAGTTTTGCTAAAAAAAAATTTCTCTATCGATTCTTGAACTTAATTATAATTAATTTTCACCCCCAAGAAGAAACCCCCAGAGCAAAATCGCAAGTTGGCTATGTCACTTTTGTTTCTTAAGGTATTCTCCAACCACTCACCTATTTTCATGAAAATCGATGGAGGTTCAACGAAATCGAAGGTGAAAATCTTCATTGACTGGACTAATCAGTTTTATTAAAAAAGGCGAACGGTTTTGGATAAAATTATTTCTTTATATTTAAAAAAAATGTAAAATTTGGCAAGCTTTGGAACAAACACATCGCGTTAAACATCTTCAAATGGTCTGAAATACTAGATATATGACTTATATTGTAGGACAGAGGAGATCATTTTTGATTTTTTTTTTCAAATAATATGCATAATACATTATCAGCATTTGTCGATTAATATCCCCACTGAAGGGGCACAGCACAGGCTTAGGGATCGGCCAGAGTGCACTCAGATTCAGATTCAAATTCATATTGTAGATTGTAGTATATAATAGGTAGATATTTATAAATGAAACATTTTGTTTTCATTATAAATTGAAGATCAAACGAACTTACCAAGTGAAGTTCGATCAATTATGTGATCAGCTTCATTCGACGCGATTTATTGTTTACATATTGTAGTTGCGCCCCCAAGAACATTATGTTCATTCATCAAGAACTGTTCATTCAAATATCTTTCATTCTTTTAATGTCACATCCCTAATTTTGTGTTGGTGTACGCTCGAACTACATAAAATTGATAGCATGTGTGCGTTTTTTTGTTTGTGTGACGTAATGTTTGAAGTACGCGTTTATAGCAACAACACGCTCGTGTTTGTGGGAGTATTGCATATTTTCATTAGTGTGCTATA